CTTTTTTTTTTTTTTTTTTTTTCCTTTCTTTTTGGTACTGGGGATCCAGTGCGGGACCTTGCAAGGCAGGCAGAGGAACCACTGAACTAAATCACCAGCCCCAACATCCCTTTTTTGTTGAAGGGTATGTAGACATAAGACATGCTCAGTAAATACATGTTGAAAGAATACTCACGTTACTGGAAGAATCCTAAATACTACCCATGTGATTAACTGGGATATGTCCAAATTATGCAAAACAGAATTGATCCTTTAAAAGAAACCTTGCCGCTCCTGTTTCTGTCAACCATTTTATTATTTTTTCATTCATACTGAGTTGAAAACACTTATCTTTTTAATGCATTTGTTTTATTCTAGTGTGCATACTGAAAGCATTCCTTCCCATATGTTTTTTTTAAACGGGTTTTATTTTTATTTTTAATTTTTGGTACCGGGGATCGAACTCTGGTTCTTGCACTTGTGAGGCGGACAGCACCAACTCCCTGGCCCCTTTTTATATGTATTTCATTGACAATTTACCAGTTTTAGCTGGGCGTGGTGGCACATGCCTATAATCCCAGCACATGGGAGGCTGAGGCAGGAGAAGTTCAAGGCCAGCCTGGGTTACATACCATAGTGAGTTCAAGGCCAACCAGGAATACATAGTGAGAGATCCTGTCTCAAAAAAAAAATTTTTTTACCACTTTAAGGTGTGTAAATCAGTATTTTTAATATATTCACAGAATTGTACAACCGTCACCACTACCCAATTCTGCGACATTTCAAAAAGAAACCCATAGTTACTAGCAGTCATTTCCCATTTCTCCCTCCCCTAGGCATGGTCAACCACTGATTTATCTTCTCTGTGGACTTGCCTGATCTGGATATTTCATGTAATGGAATCGTATGATATGGCTTTTTGTGCCTGTTTTCTTTCACTTCGTACAATATGCATGTATGTTGTCATATGTACTCTTTTGTAGCTGAATAATATTCCATTTTATGCTGCATTTTGTCTATATATCTATCAGCTGATGGACATTTGGGTTGCTTCTACCTTTTTGCTGTTTACAATAACCCTGCTAGGCACCTTCATGTACAAGTTTTTGGTTTGCCTAGATCTTTTGGGTATATATTAGGAGAGAAATTGCTAGAGCATATGGTAACTCTGTTTTAACTTTTTTTAGGAACTGCCAAGCTGAAAAGCATCAGTTTATGTTCATACCAGGAGTGTGTGATGGTTCTAATTTTTTCCACATCCTTGCCTTGTTATTAAAAAATAGTGGTGTGAAATCAGATCTCACTGCCATTTTGATGTGCTTTCTCTTAGTGGCTAATGATGTTAAGCGTTTTTTAATCTGTTTCCTGGCCATTTATATATCTTCTTTGAATGAATGTCCGTTCAAATCTTATGCCCATTTTTAAACTGGGTGGTTTATGTTTTCTTGTTGCATTGTAAGAGTTCTTTATATATTCTGGACACAAATGACTTATCAGATACATGATTTTTGAATATTTTCTGTGGGTTGTTTTCACTTTCTTGATGATGATGTTCTTTTGTCACTGGAAAATATCACTGGACAGGGTTCAAGGAGATTCCTGAAGCTGAAATAAGAAACCTAACCCACCGTAAACAGAAAATGGGCTCATAGGTTTGCTGACTCTCATCATGGAAAAAAAATTTTCCGTCACATCAGTAAGGGAATGGTTTTTTAGGCAGAAATTTTAGTACATACTCAATGAAGTAGAGTACAAGCCCTCAAGAGAGAAGGGCACATTATTTCCTGGAGAAAGGACCATTTATGCTTCTCTTGAAGGGGTAGAAACCACAGGAAACGATGCCCGGCCCCCTGAGAATGGCACTAGCCCATTTTTCAGGTATAGGTCCAGTTTTTTGAATAGGCATTTAAAGCACTCTTTGAATTCTCTCCACCTGTTTCTTTATCTTAGAATCAGATTCCTGCCCTTTACTTTCTCAGTTAAGCCAATTTACAGACCTTCAGTATTCCTGAGGAATTTAGGGTATGATGAGTCTAGAGGCTAAATTTAACCAAAGGAATGCTGAAAAGGATCACCTTGTGTAATTGTGGCTGGATCTCAGAAGTTGCAGTCTTCTTAAAAGTACAATTTTTAACATATGATTTCCTTGTCTCCTTTCTGTCTCCCTTTTATTTCTTCTGCCCTACCTCACTTTGAAGCATAAAAGGCTTTATTCATTTGCTTGTTTTTGCAGTGCCGAGGATCAAACCAAGGCCTTGTGCATGCTAGGCAAGCACTCTCTCATTGAGCTACACTGCCAGCCAAAGGTTTTCATTTTTATGAAGTCCTCACATCATGCATTCCTTTTTGGCCTGTAAGGTTTTGTATTGAGAAACCCACTGATACTCTTACAGAACCTTGTGTGTGATGAATTGCTTTTCTCTTGTTGCTTTCAAGATTCTTTCTTTGACTTTCACTTTTGACTACTTGATTATGACAAATCTTGTACGTGAAGTCCTTTGGACTGTCTTGAATTTGAATGTCCATTTTCTTTTATTTTCAGATTTGGAGAGTTATAGGCCACTATTTATTTCTCTTCTTCTGGTAGTTCCATAACACATCTATTTGTCTGTTTGATAGTTTTCTATAGTTCTCTTAAGTTTTCTTCACTTTTCTTCATTTTTATTTATTGTTCCTCTGTCTTGATGATTTTAAATCACTTGTTTTTGAATTCACTGTTTTCTGCTTGATAAAATCTACTGTTGAACCCCTCTAGTAAATTTTTCACTTTAGTTATTATAGTCTTCAATTCTAAAATTTGTTTGGTTCTTTTTTATAATTTCTACGTCTATTCTCTCTTTATTCATGCACTGTTATCCTGATTTCCTTTAGTTGTCTCTGTTCTCTTATAGCTTGTTTGAGCTCTTTTAATATAATTCTTAAACTTTTGTCAGGTGACTAAATAGATTTCTGTTTCTTTAGGATCCATTTCTACAGCTTTATTTGAGTCCTCTGAGCCACGTTTTCCTTTTTTCATATGCCTTTTCATTTTTTGCTGGGATGTGGGCCTTTGAAAAAACAAATACCTCTTCTGGTATTTACAGACCTTCGCCATAGTCTAACTGCAGATTGTGTGGGTCCCTTAAATCTTTTCTGGGATGCATTTCTCTGAGTTTATACATGTAATTTCCAGTTAGAAAGTTTTTTTCAGATGCCTTAATGTTTTGTTCTCTGGTGTTTGTGGGCAATACTACGGGTACTCTGGTCTCCCCCGACCACCGCCTGGGCCAGTGGCGGCGAACCTGTGGCACGTGTGCTGCAGCAGGCATGCAGAGCCCTCTCTGTTGGTTTGTGAGCCCAGCCACTCAGATCTTGAAAGCGGGCAGCTGAAATATTTTCCAAATTAAAAATGCATTTCAAAAATTATATAACATTTGCAGACAATCCTACAAGCCACCAGGAAATCTACAAGGAATTTTCTAGCATTGTAGCAGCTGTAAAGGAAAATTTTAATAACAGGTCTTTACAGTTCTGTAAGATGGAGACGACCCTGTGTTTTCTTATTTCTCCAGCCAAATTTGAAGAGTTCAATCTTTCTCGCTTACACTGGTTAGATTTTGGAAATCTGGAAATAGAGCTATCAGAATTTTAAGAAAACTGTCTGGAAAAAATAAATTATATCATCTGCATGCAACACTTGAGAAATGGAGTGTGAAGGGTTGACAAAGGACAGCACGGTTGGTACTTTTGAAAATGAAACTCTTAAAGTGTGGAGTTCATTACCAGATGATTTTAAGCCAATGAAAGCACTTGGGATTGCTTTTCTTACTTTGTTTGGATCATCTTGTAAGCAGCTGTTTTCAGCTTTGAATTATATCAAAGCTGTTACCCAAAACAGACTAGCATGACCTGAGTGCCTCATGTGTTGCTCTCAAACTAACAAAATATGCTGAGCGTGGTGGCGCACACCTGTAATCCCAGCACTTGGGAGGCTGAGGCAAGAGGATCGCTGTGAGTTCGAGACCAGCCTGGGCTACATAGTGAGTTCCAGGTCAGTCTCAACTACATAGTGAGACTCTGTCTCAAACAAAACAAAACAAAATTTAAAAACCTAACAAAATATGAGCCAAGGTTTGACGAACTATCAGCATGCACACAACAGCAGAGATCCCATTAAATGTGCAAAAGCACACTGAATGGAAACTTACCTTTCAGTAAAAAGCTGTTTGTATCATTAAAAGCTATTATTGTGTTTTTAAGACAAAAGATGTTAATGTAGGAGTTGTATTTTCTAAATGAAAACCTCAGCATTCAGATTTAATTGCAGTGTTGGCATTTTGCAATGAATAAATGGGTTTTGGGGTTGAGTTTGGTACGTGGTCTCTTAAAGGTTCACCATCACTGGCCAAGGCTCTCCTTTGTTTTGAAGTATTCAAGGTGTGGCAGTTACTTTTCTGCACTCAGAGTCAGACAAGACAGAAATCAGTGCCTTGGAAAGACCCCAGAAAGCCAGAACATAAGACATATAGTCCACTCCTCTCTCCCTCCCAAAGGAGCAGCCAAGAATTGGGCATTCTCTCTGATCACACTACACTATCCTGGCTTGCAGGGGAAGAATCATATATAGACGCCAAATGGACCGGGGATTTAGCTCAGTGGTTCCACCGCCTGCCTTGCAGGTGCAATGACTCAAGTTTGACCCCCAGTCCAAAAAAAGAAAAAAATCCAATGGCTTCTTGGTTTCAGTGTAATAGTTCTTGTCTTTACACTTACTTCCTTGGCTACTGTGACTTTCTAACTAGTTTTTGGAGTTCCCTTGAAAGATTTTTAAACGGTATATTGTGGTTAAGTCCTTGTCTCTAGGAGAATAAGTTCTGTGGTTTGCTATGCCACCATCTTGTGACCTCACTCTAAATTCTTAAACTGTTAAGTGGTGGGATCTTTGATACTCTGAAGAAAGCTGTGAAACATTTCCCTAGGGGAAAAAAAATGCATGCACATAAAATATAAGATATACACTCTGGGAGTGTTATATAGCCTCATATACATAGATGAATATATATCTAACCATATACCCTGTCTTTAAAATCTTTATATAGTCTGTTCAATTAAAAATTAATTCATTGGGTTTGGTTTACTTAAAACTTGCACACCAATCCGCTCTGGAAGGTAACCTTCAAAGCACGGAATAGCTTGTCTGATAAACCTGTTTGTGTGCCTGAGATCTGGAGCTGCACGGTCTCAGTGTGGCCATATAGATTATGCATACAGTGTGATTTAGAGCGAGGACCTGTTTTGCGTGCCTGAGACCATGAGCTACACTGTCAGTTTGACTTCTGTATGGCTGAAGATACTTAAGGTGATTTATATAGAGGGTACACGCCCATGTGTTTGATCTCTATTAATCCTGAAGTCAAGTGAGCTTCTCTGGTTAGGGGCACTTTGCATATCACTGCTAAGGAATTAAGCGCTGTCTGTGAGATGAGCAGAAGACAACTAGAAGCTTTATGCCTGATTTCTCCTGGGTTTCCCTATGTGTCCTTTCCCCTTGCCGATTCTAATCTGTATCCCTTCTAGTGAATTAATGAATCTTGGGTACACTTGACACATAGTTCAAACCTTTGAGTTAGCCAGTCTGCTAAACCCACTGCAATAATTAGGCCACATGTCTTTCAGCATTTAGAGCATAAGTGCGTTTTTAACAAGCTTCAGTAAATGACTATCATTTGCTAAGCGCTACGTCATTTGCAAGGACTCAGATGTAAAAATGTTCATGCCTTGAACTGCAACATTAGCATAGACCTCTCCAGCCTTCTAAATCTACGTGGTAAAAATCATATATATAGGTGGTACTCTTTCTTTTCTTGTTGCTTCCAATTTTTCTCATATAACACATTATTCTGTGACAACCCCCCGTCCCCAGTGGATGCCTGAAAGAGAAACAGGATGGTACTGAAGCCTATAATTATTTTCTCAGTTCTGGGGACTGAACCAAGGGCCTCATGCATGCTAGACATGTGACCTATCACCAAGCCCCCTCCCCAGCTGAATCTCATAATTTAATGCCTTTTTGCCTTAACTAAGTACAGTGGTACCTTGGTTCACAAACTTGAGTCTTACCACAGTTTTGGTTGCAAACCAAATTGGATGAGAACCTAATCAAATGCAATGGTTAGGTTCAAGGTTGACCTTGTGAGGAAAGTATCAGACATTGTAGTCATTCCTTTTGTAATTTGAGGTGCAATAGCAAAACTAACATGAATTTATTTTCCTGCCTTCATAAGTTCACAGATAGGAGAGTGTACTTACTATAGATCAAGTACTATAATTTAAGTGTACTTACTATAGATCTTAGCAATATCAACATGATTTTTTCCTTTATTTTTGAAGTCAAGAACTTCTACCTTTGTGCCTAAAGGAATCATTTATGACTTCTTTTGGCAAATCCAAATTGCAGGCATTATTACTGTTATGCTTTGAGGCTATTATGTAAAATGAGGATAACTTAAACTTAAGCACTATGATATCATGACAAGTCAATCTGATAACTGAAATGTCTATTAAGTGATTAAGAGGTAGGTAGCATGTAGAACATGGTTAACTCTGGGCAAAGGGATGTTTCATGTCCCCAGAAGGAAGGAGCAGATGGTACAAGATTTCATCACATTGCTCAGAATGATGTGCAACCTACAACTTTTGAATTATTTCTGGAATTTTCCTCTTACTAGTTTCGAACCACAGTTGACCATAGAAAGTGAAACTGCAGACAAGAGGGACTGCTGTAAATCTTATTCTTCTGCATTCTATATGAGGCCATACTTAAAGAGAATAAATGTATAAAGTTAATGACTATCTTTGGGTTTTTTGGTTTCTTTTTTAAATTAGTTTGAGAGGGATGAAGAGGTTTATTAGGCAGAATATAAAGTACACACTCAAAGAAAATAGAGTGTGGATCCTTGAAAGACATCTTTAAATTCATTTTGTGTATTTAATTAATTAATTAATTAATTTGGTACCAGGGATCCAACTCAGGACCTTGCACTTGCCAGGCAGGCACTGTGCCACTAAGCTACATCCCTGGCCCTGAAATTAGTTTTTAAAAGTCATGTCTATAAATTTTGCCTATTGTAAATATATGATTATGTGACTTTTGACAAATTGATATAGTTAAGTAACTGCTACCACATCAGAGCATAAAACATTTCTATCACCCTTAAAAATTCCATTCCTTTATGGTCAATTCTCTTCTCCCCACCCCCAGCTCTGGTAGTTGCCACTGGTTTTTGTTTTTTTTTTTTCTCATTGAGTTTATTGGTACATTGTAGGTATACAGTACAGTTATATTCATCACTGGGATCTTGTGCCTTTACATGACAGGTCTTGGTTCTCATTTTTTCCCCATTCCCTGGCCCTCCCTTCACCCCCTCCTCCCTTCCCTATTTACAAAGACTTGGTTTCCATTTTTTCATTTTCTCGTATCTTTTTCTTTTCCCTTGTTTCCTTTCCCTTCCCACTTCCCCTATACCTTTAGCCCTTTTCTTCCTATTTCACATCGTCAAAAATATGGAACACTTCACGAATTTGTGTATCATCCTTGAGCAGGGGCCATGCCAATCTCTGTATTGTCCCAATTTTAGTATCTGTGCTGCTGAAGCAAGCACTAGTCCCCACTGTTTTATGCCACCGTATGTTTGCCTTTTTCCGTATGTCATACCAGTGGAATTATGTGGTAGGAGTTCTTCCTTTTTTTTCCTTTTTTTTTGTTGGTACCGGGGATCAAACTCAGGACCTTGTACTTGTGAGACAGGCTGTGGCTCCACTGAGCTAAATCCCTGGCCTGCGTTCTTCCTTTTTCAACCCATAGTGTTTTTTTGAGATTTGTTTATCAATAGTTTGTTCCTCTACTGCTGAGTAGTATTCCATTGTATGCATATGCCACAGTTGATGTTATGGCTTATATCTAGACACCCCCCAAGCCTCATGTGCTCATAGGTGGGGCTTTTGGGATGACTGGATGTGGTGTGTAATACTGGGGCACAGATGTGTGACACTGAATTAGTCCACTGAGTGGTTTAGCATATTTCTGGTTGTTGGTGAATGGGTTTACCAAATTAGGAAGATCCAGCCTTCGGTGTGGGTGGTATCAATTAATAGGCTTGTGGCCTGGATGGAATGAAAAGGGAAAGGGAGGAAGTCACTCTGCTTGCTCCCTCCCCTGCCATGGACGGTTTCTCTTCTGCCATGCCACGCTGCCTTGGAGTCAGCTGACTGGGGACTGAAACTTCTACAAACTGAGCTAAAATAAACCTTTTCCTCTTTAATTTGTGGGTATCAGGTATTTTATCCCAGTTATGAGAAAGTAACTAAGACATTTGAGTTGTTTCCAGTTTGGGGCAATTATGAATTAAGCTGCTATGAATATTCACATTTAGGTGTCTTAAGTGGGTATGTTTTCAGTTTTCTTCGACATACCTAAAAGTACGATTGCTGTGGTATATGAAAGAGTGTATTTATGAGATTCCTAATACTTTTCCAAATAGCCTTTACCATTTTGCAATATATCAAATTTCCAGTTGTTACTCATCCTCACCTTTGTTTCGTGTTGTTGGTATTTTCTAACTTAAGCAATCTGCTAAGTGTGTGATGATAACTTACTGTGGTTTTAATTGGTATTTGCTTTGTGAACAGTAACATTGAGGATATTTTCATGTTTCTTATACTTTTTTGGTGTTCAATTTTTTTTAAGGTGTTCAATTTTTTTATTCATTTTTTGCAGGGCTGTTTATTTTATCATGGACCTTTTGGTGTTCTTTACACGTTTTTGACACAAGTCCTTGATTCTAAATGTGTACCCATTGTACACATTTGACTTTGTATTGTACACATTATTTTGACACTTTTGACACACGATAATATATTTTACAACTATTATTTCCCAGACTGTGGCTTACGTTTTCATCTTCCTGAGTGTCTTTTGATGAACAGTTACTAATTTTGAGGAAGTCCAATTTATTAATGTTTTTACTGTTTAACATTTTGTTTTGTTTTTGCAGTATTAGGGATTGAACCTCGGTTTTTGAACATGGTAGGCAAGCACTCTACCTACATTCCTAGCCCAGTGGTTATTATTATATCTCCTAAGATGGTTTTGCCTAACTCAGGGTTGGAAAATCAGTTTCTCCTTCTCATTTTTTGTTTGTTTGTTTTTGGTACCGGGGATCTAACTCAGGTCCTTGCACTTGCGAGACAGGTGGCGGAACCACTGAGCTAAATCCCTGGCCCTCTCCTTCTGTTTTAGTCACTTTCCTTGTTACTGAGACACAATATCCAGCATCCACAACTTAAAGGAGAAAAGGTTTATTTTGGCTCAGATTTTATTTATTTATTTATTTATTTATTTATTTATTTATTTATTTATTTATTGGGGTTTTTTTGAGACAGGGTCTCACTATGTAGTTGAGACTGACCTGGAACTCACTGTGTAGCCCAGGCTGGTCTCAAACTCACAGCGATCCTCCTGCCTCAGCCTCCCAAGTGCTGGGATGACAGGCGTGCGCCACCACTCCTGGCTATTGGCTCAGGTTTTAAAAGATGCAGTCCTTGCGTGGTTGGCAGCATGGTGTCTAGCGATCCTCCTGCCTCAGCCTCCCGAGTGCTGGGATGACAGGCGTGCGCCACCACGCCTGGCTATTGGCTCAGGTTTTAAAAGATGCAGTCCTTGCGCGGTTGGCAGCATGGTGTTAGCTAGAGGAAAACTGCTCATGTTGTGGTGGCCAGGAAACAGAGAGGGGTGAACCCGAGAGGGAGCTGTCCCTTTCCAGGTCATGCTCCCGGCGACAGGCCTCTTTCAACCACGCTTAAGTCCTTACAGCAAATCAGCTAGAGCCTCCATGATCCTGTCACCTCCAGAAGCCCCACCTTTGAACACATGCGGTTTTAGGGGAACAGTCCAGATCCAAATCACGACTCCTTCTAGATGATTACACTTTCACACTCATATTTCGCTCAGTGGTCCACATTGAAGTAATTTTTGTGTAGGATATAAGGTAAGGGTGAAGGTTTATCTTTGTACATGGATATCCTATTGTTGTACACCATTTATTTAAAAGGCTTTCCCTTCTCCTGTTGAATTATGGTGGCACCTTTGTAGAAAAGTAATTGACCTTGCATGTGAGAGTCTGTTTCTCGCTTTTAGGTCCAGTTCTTTTAATCTATATCTCTATCCTTTTTCTAATCTTAATTACCATAATTTTATCAGAAGTCTCAAAAATATGGTCGTTTGGTTTCTCCAACTTCATTCTTTTTTTTTTTTTTTTTTTTTTTTTAGATTGTTTTGGCTTTTCTGGGTTCTTTACTTTTCCATACTAGTTTTAGAATCAACTTGTCAATCTACAAAATTACCTGCTGAGATTTTGGGATTTTGACTGGATTTGCTTTGAATCTCTAAATCAATTGGGAAGAATTCATGTCTTAACAATTACGGAGTCTTTTAATCTGTGAACATAGAACATACCCCTGTGTATTTAGATCATCTTTAACTTCTCTCAGCAGTGTTTTGTAGTTTTCATTATGCAGGTTTTACACGTGTTTGATTTAATTAATCTCTAGGTATTTCATGTTGATTGATGCTTGCAAATGTGATTTTTAATCTCAACTTTCAATAATTCATTGCTAGTGTAGAGAATTCAATGGATTTTTAAATTTGTTACTTTGTACATTTTTTATTTTTTAAATTAAGCTGATATACTTAGATTCTGAGTATCCTGAGTTTGTCAAAAGAGTCAGTGTTTCCTGTCTGATTGTTTAAATTCTTTTTTTTTTTTTTTTGGTACTAGGGATCGAACTCGGGACCTTGTGCATGGAAAGCAGGCAGCAGAACCACTGAGCTAAATCCCTGCCCCTGTTTAAATTCTTTAAATTTTGTGTTCATTGACTTAATATTATTTTTAAAAATATGTGCCTTATTTATTTTAACAATTATATAAAAACATTTACTAATGCTTAGTATTTGACAAGTACGATCCTGTTAATTTATAGATACTACTATTGTCGCCGTTTGGAGATTAGGAAACAGAGTCATGGAAAAATTGTGTGCCAAGGTCACACAACTAATAAGTGGTTGCTGTTAGGTAAAGAGAGCCAAAAACCAAGACCAGACCAGGACCATAACAAGCCTCTGTTGTAGGGACAATCTGCCAAGCCGTCTCGGAGCAAAGGGAGAGACTCTTATAGGAGTGGGTGGGGCCTATAGGAGCTGGGCTGGGTTGAGTGACGTAGCGGCTCAGGATTGGGGGGCTGTGAGGTCACTAGGCGAGGCCATTTTAAGGCGAGGGAAATCTAATGTTCCAGGCTTTTGTTTTATGGTCGTTGGGCGAAGGTCTTTTCTTCTGCAGCTGCTTCAAGCCCACAAAGGGGTGACAGTTGGGGCTAAACCTGGATCTGGTGGGGGCAGTGGTAGGTGGGGGCTTCTTCCCTCTGCCGATGTGGCGATACCCCGCCATGACGAGTTCCCTGACTGCTTGGTAAATGCCCTCATGTGTACCTGGAAGAAATTTTGAAAACAGCGAAGCAGACAGGGCCCTATCATCATTAAAAGACATATACAAGCCAGTGGGCCCAACAAGGGAAGTAGCAAGGCATCATTTGGGGAAGCCAGGAGCAGCTCTGGTCTGTTCCCCAAGAATTCCTTTGTCTCTCTCCCTCTTGGATGCGCTGCTGTAATTTTTTTTTTTTTTTTTTTTTTGGTACTGGTGATCAAACTCGGGACCTTCCATTGTGAGGCAGGCAGCAGCATCAATGAGCTAAATCTCCAGCCCTTCTGCTGTATTCCTTTAACCCTTGGCTTTAACAATCCCTGACTGGTTAACAAAATAACAGCACTCTTCACCTAGCACCTGGCACGTTCCCCCTTGGGCCGCTGTCAGCACGTCAAGGGCCTTTCTATTTTGTAACACGACTACTACTAGAGAATTTATTTGATCTTGTCTTGTATTTAAGGACTGGCTTATTTTATCCCTGTCTTCTGAAATCTCTATGGACAGAGCCTGACAGAAACGTGTGGATGTAGAAATGCCCACTATCCCTGTTGCCACCCCACTGAGGACCCCCACTCCCATTAAGAAGGGGACTAGAAGGGGAGCTGCCCTTTTTCTGATTGTGTTCTGTGGGAGAACTTGTTTGACATCTGGGCTTCTGTATAAATGGTCATGGGAGGGCTGAGGAAGGATATGCAACAGAAAACATCAGACTGAGGCATTGGAAGGCCTCTTGGTTACATATGAAGTACAGGCCGTTGGACAGGCAGATCGGACCTCTTCTGAGATAAAGAGGGAGCAAGCAAGGCAAGTGATGTTGTCATTTTGCCCCACGCACGTCAGGTGAGTGGTTTGTGTAGAGAATGGGAGACCTGTAGTGAACGAAGGGTCCAGAACTGTGGATAAACTGCCAGTATTTGAGACAGACAGGTTAAAATCTAGGGGGATGGGACTTGGAGTGAGCGAGCAGGGTAAACGGAATAAACATCCAACAGTCTGAGGTGGTGACAGGGAGGTGGTGGAGGGTGGTATTAAATAGGTGGTGTAGCCTTTTGGAGACTGGGTTATCTGGTTTACCACTTGGAGATCTGTCCCTTTATAGGGAGGTGGAGTGGTGGCCTCACAAGTCTCTCTATTGCTAGTGACTGTTCATTGACTGCTTCTTTTGGTTATTCTTTTCTGCTGGGTATTTAAGACCAAGTTAAAGTGAGACCTGTGTTAATCACTATGAACCTCTTGCTATTTGTCGAGGTCAGTTAGGTCTCCTTAGGCATTATTTTGGAACCATGCATAGAGGCCCTCAGCTCCTCTGTCAGTGTCAGTCATCAGGATGGGTCTCAGCCTTACTTGACCATGTTGTCTTCAGTGAAAGTGTGGGAGATTTTTTTCTCTTGATGACCCTCCTTTAGCACACGTTACAGTTGTCCTCTGGTGTCCCGCAATCTCCCTACTCAGGAGGTTGGGTGACTTACCAAAGATGGTAACTACAACAGAAAAGGTTCCTTCATACCTTGGATCTTTGATGACCTTGAAGGGCCAGGGCCAAAACATTGGTGGTCTTCTTAGCCCAGTTCCCTTTTAGTGTTGGTCTCTGCACTTTGGTGGTTGAACACCCAGAAGAGAAGATCAGTGACATCAGTAGCACAGTAGAAGCTTAACTATCATAACTTTTTCTGGATAGCAAGCACCCTGGAATCTAAAATATAGAGGGCTGTTATTTTTATCAGTCATGGTTGTTCTAGTAGTTGACTTCCTGTGGAATATTAACAGGAACTTGGAGCCACACATCTTCATCATCATCATCATCATCATCATCATCATCATCATCATCATCATATTTTAGCATGACCACCATGATGACATTATCGTTGCAACAAACAGTATAAAATAGCCATTGTTAAATATATTTATTCATGAGGCTTTGGGGGGACATTTAGAGAGAAGCCATAACAGCAAATCAAAACCACAGTGAAATACCCTGTATGTTCAGCAGAATGACTGAAGGCTTTAAATGGTCATTATCAAGTGTTACTGAGGATGTAGAGTATGTGAAATTCTCACATTATTTGGCATTTTCTTATAAAATCAATTATGTACTTGCTCAAGGCCCTAGAATAGTGATAGTGAACCTTTTAGAGTGCTCAGTGATACAGACAGCCCACTGAAACACACATGCCTTAGGTGCACCACCACCGTCCTAGGAATTCCACATCCACGATGCTCAGAAAAATTAGCTCATTATCCATCAGAACTTTCTACAAGAATGTTCATAAGCAGCTTTATTCCCCAAACCCAAGATTAGGCAAGATCCAAATATTCACAGCAGGAAAATAAAACAATTTGTGATATAGTCATACAGTAGACTGTTACCAGCAGTAACAATGACTGTTAATATACAGAACAACACAGATAATATCCCTTGATTCTGTGAGACCGGGTTTGAGATCCACCTCACAGCTAATTGACAATCACTGCCCTGATCCACATCCCTTTGGTGTGGGGCTTAGAAATAAAACACCCACGTTCAGAATGTGGTTCATGTTGGCTATCTTTTTAAATATAGCCTCCCTGGTATCTTTCTCATTCCAGTTTTATGCCTGCATCACCTACATTTCCCCACTCCACGGCTTTGGAGAACAGAACATCTTCTCCTGTCATCTGTTCTCCGTTGGAGGCCGCATTCCAACTGGCAGGACCTGTGAGCACAGCAGGGGCCAAGTCCATCTCAAGGTGACCTGTATTTGGACTCTCCTCGGCATAATGACCATCGTATTGTGCTGCTAGAACTAGTCTTTGCTTTACCAAGTGTGTTCTCATATGTCTATCTAATTATAAAGTGTGATTATGTCCATACCTAGAAAGCTCTCTCATTTTCCTTCCCAAACACTGTCCCCACCCACTCCCAGAGACAAGCGCTGTTTGTGAATAATTTCTTACCTGGTGCTCAGTAAAATTCTTTTGGAAATCTCCAAGTTACTTAGGCCTACCTTTTTTTGTGGCACCGGGGATCAAACTCAGGACCTTGCACTTTTGAGGCAGGTAGTGGAACCACTGAGCTAAATCCCTGGCCAAGGCCTACTGTTCTTAATTAGACCCTATAAAAAGTCACATTCATTTTCTAATCTTTCCTTAGATGGTAATAAATATTTGGGGATTTTTTCCTATACGTTTTTAAAATTACAAAACAGAAGAACTGAACTTGAAACTGTGAAATAGGTGTTCAATAAAAGCTTTTTATTTCCATAGTATGGACTTACAGGGAACTAAGAAAGGATCTATATTTCTTTTTGTTTTTATGGTTGTTTTATATGTACTTTGTTCTTTTCACCTTGTCTTATTTATCATTTTTGTGGTTTGGTAGTTTTCTTTCTTTTTTTTTAAAGAAAGGATATATTTAACAGGCAAAACGTTCAAAAGAAAAGAAAAAGCAGGCTGTTATCACTCATTCCCATTTATCCGTGTCCGGCAGGGTCAAAGCTGTCAGTGCATTGTGTGAGGTGAAAAGGACTCTCGGGCTGCAGAGTTGCAGGCTATGATTAAAGCCTCCTGACAATAGGGCCTGTCTCCCAGACAGTCCACCCCACGTCAGCACTCCAGGTAGCTTGGAGCCTTTCAGGGCCAGGGAAAATACATCCTGCCGTGCTTAATCATATACATCCTGAGGCTTATAGATAAACTCTGTTATCAGAAGGAGGCTTGAGTCTCAAATGAGTATCGAGTGACTCACTTATTCCTTCCTCTGTCCCACTAAAATGTTTTTTTGGGGGGTTGCAGAGGATAATTCTCTATGTGTTTATGTGCTTGTGTAAACCTAGCCCCGTGGATCACGTGAGGATGAAAAAAGTGATTCCCAGTGTCAAGGGGTTTGCAGTCTATGCGGCTCTCTGCTTCATGGGAAACATCAAATACAGGAGAATTTGGACTAAGGATAGTCTGGATGAGGGAACTTGCACAACAGAAAAATTTAACTAGGCCTCACTTAGTAAAATTTTGATAAATATGAATAAGAAAGAACCACACATTTTTCATACTGCAGCCCGAGTGATCTTTCTGCAGCACAAATCTGATCATTTCATTTCTCTGCTTAAAGCCCTTCAGGGATGAGAACGGATAATGCCCAGCGCCCAATGGATGAGGAAACTGAGGCTCAGAAATGAACCATGTTGTCCCCAGAGCCAGCTAGTTAATGGCAGAACTAACTAGAACCTCATGCTCTAGGGGCACTGCTGTTCTTAAGCATCTTAACAGTCATTCTTGGCTTAACTCACTGAGCTAAAAATCAAGCAGTCGGCAGGGCTGTGCTCCTTTCTGGAAACGCTAGGGACAAATCCATTTTCTTGTTTTTTCCAGTTTCTGGAGGGCACCCACATTTCTTTGTTTAAAGCTCCTTCTTTCATCTTCAAAGCCGACTGAGCCTTTTGCACATTGTACATGTCACTGTCTTCACTGACTCTTTTGCCCTCCTCTTCCACGTTTCGGGATCCTTGTGATGACTTGGACTCGGCCAGGTTAGTCTGCATAATCTCCCATCTCACCTTGGGCATGTGTGCAAAGTCGGTTATGGAGCATAAGGTAACGTATTCAACGGGTTCCTGCGATTAGGAGGCTGCATCGTTTGCAGGGCCATTAGTCTGTCTACCTTGGTACAGCCTGACTGGTACACCTACAAGAGTTGCAGTGAGACTCATTCTGGGATGGCCACAAAAAACTGGAAAGTGGCACCCGGCGCTGCCTTCACGGTAAGGAGTCAATGCTCAGTCAGCGCCAACAGGAGCATCAAGCAAAACAGGAAGAAGCTACTCCCTCCTCACCCTTTCCCCTGTCTTCTAGTCTTTTTCTAATGTCCCTGTTGGCAAGAAGCCAGCTGACTAAGGCTAATTAGCTTTGCAGCTTCAGTCCCAACACTGGAGAGCAGTGTAGAATGGAAGGTTTGAGGCTGCAAGACATTAGCTTCAAAACTGACAAAAATACCACTAAAAAATTTAAGTTTTTGTTTGTTGGGTTGGGGGGGATTCGGTTTTGAGGATTGAACCCAGGGCCTTCATTCTGTGCTACATTTCCAGCCCTTTCTATTATTTTGAGATGGGGGGGATCTGCTAATTTGCCCAGGTTGGGCTTGAACTTGCAATCCTCCTGCCTCAGCCTCCCAGACTGTTGAGATTACAGGTGTGCGCCACTACACCAGGTATAAAAAAATAAGTTTAAACAAAGGACAGCCTAGGACTACATTATAGATGCTCCTTGATTGCAATGGGTTATAATCAATAAACCAACAAATAATGTTTAAAATATCCAAATATACAATTGAAAATACTACCTATTGCTAGTTCAAGTAAGATTCAAAGTATGGTTTCTGCTCAACGCACATCATTTTCACACTAATATAAAGTTCAAAATTGTAGTTTCGGGACTATCTATATATTTAATAAAATGTTCATATCTCAATATATAATACTTTTCAGAAACCAATAAGAAAAAGACAACCCAGTACATATGGGCAAAACCACAGTATGCTGTGTGACAGTAGTATCGGCCAAATTCCTATATTATTGTTAAATATTACATCTCAGACATAACTGTATGTACTATACTTTATTATGACTGCTAAGGCACAGTAGGTTTGCTGACACCAGAATCAATTGAGTGGTGAGTTACTTTGTGACATCATAGTGGCTGCAATGTCATTCAGCTATAGAAAATTTTCAGTTCCGTTGTAATCTCATGGGACCACCAATATATGTGCATCTGTCCTTAGCCAAAATGTCCTTACAAGCTGGGAGTGGTGGCATGTGCCTATAATCCCAGCACTCAGGAGGCTGAGGCAGGAGGATCAGCCAACCTGGGCTACACAATTCAAGGCTAGCCAAAACTACACAGCAAGACTTTGTCTCAATAAATAAATAAAGTCATTGTATAGCACGTGGCTATATGCAAGATGAACCTGGGCATCTCATAGTGCCAAAGGAGAGGTGGCATTATGAAAACAAAAACAACAATGCAAACGGAAGACATGCAATGACATGTGTGAAGATTATGAATTTCATTCCCAAAATTAGGCCGTTAGATGGAAAAGTTGCTCAAAGTTTGGTTTGGTTTGTACTTTTAATATAAAATGAAATGAATGTTCCGTATAAATAATGCCCTACCCTACCACCACCAAGACAAACTCTTGACTGGCACAGTTATCCTGAGTGGGTCTGACCTAATCAGGTGACATTTTAAGAACTGAGCTCTTCCTTAAAAGAAATTATTTGTTTGAGGGGCATCAGTCACATAGGTGATCTCTTGTTATTACTTTTGTTTTTTGTTTGTTTGAGACAGGGTCTCACTATATAGTTGAGACTGACCTGGAACTCACTATGTAGTTCAGGCTGGTCTCAAACCCACAGCGATCCTCCTGCCTCAGCCTCCTGAGTGCTGGAATTACAGATGCGCCACCTCTATATAGTTGAGACTGACCTGGAACTCACTATGTAGTTCAGGCTGGTCTCAAACCCACAGCGATCCTCCTGCCTCAGCCTCCTGAGTGCTGGAATTACAGGCATGCGCCACCACGCCCGGCATCTTGTTACTACTTTTGAAGATGGAGGGACTATGTAGAAAAGAGTGTAACAAACTTCTGGAAGCTAAGAGCAGCTCCCAGCTGATGCCCATAACAGAATCTCAGTTCTACAAGCTGCAGACATCTGAATTCTGCCAACAACCTGAAAAAGACTGGATAAAGCCCGCAAGCCTCAGATAGGAAGGACAGCTCTGGAGATACCTTGATTTTAGCCATGGGAAATCTGAGCGAAGAACCCTGACCTAGAGAGACTGTGGTAACAAATATGTGTTCTTATAAGCTGCAAAACTGGTGGTAATTTGTTCCACAGCAATTGATAACACAGGTGTGTCTAGGCTGTAAGTTACCATACAGCCAATAACATCAGTGAGACGCACCTGAGTATCCCTCCAGGAGGGGACCAAGGTGACCACCAGTTGGATAAAAGAAGTTACAAAAATAAATGCAGCGCGGGCTGGGGATTTAGCTCAGTAGCACAGCGCCTGCTGTGCTGTGTAAGCTCAACGTCCTGAGTTCAATCCCTGGAACCCCAAATAAACAAATACAGAGCGGCCTTGTTTTCACAAAACTCAACATTTATGGGTGGCAGAGCAAGATCTAGAAAGATAATACCAAAACGAGACAAAGCAAACCCAACCCTGAAGAGCCCTGCACCGGTGTCCAGACCCTCTCTGCACCTGCTCCCAGTCATCTCCAGCTCTAGGAGCCTCACAGCTCTGGTTTCTGGCTTCTACTCTTCCTCCCTTGTGTTTGCTGGATTTACTTCTAGTTGTTGTTCTTCTTCTTTGTACTAGGAATCGAACTCAGGACCTTGCACCTGCCAGGCGGGTGTGGTGCCGCTGAGCTACATCCTTGGCCCCTATTTGTCCTTCTTGAAAGGACACCGTATTCTCCTGGTTTTCCTTTTTTCTTTTTGGTTCCCTTTGCCAACTCAGTTTTTAGGGGAAATTCGACCTTTCCCTTTGAAGGTTTTTATATTTGAGTCTAATGAAATAAACTGTCAATAGAATAACAGGAGAAAAGCTGCAAAAGATTTCATTGATCAGATTTACATGACAGGGAAGACTTCCGATGGACCTAAAGACCCAGAGGGAACTGTCCATTTTATGCTTAGATTAGTGAATTCTGCGCAGCATGGAGACCTGTGACCGGGTGAAAGGCTGTGAGC